CAAATAACCTTTTACGAAATTCTTACTTGACTTTTATTATCATGTAATAAATTGCGATGGAATTTGTAAATCTGTATGAATCTTGATAAATAAATTACATTTCGAGTTTCTACCCACGATCGAACTTTTTACTTTGTATTTTCCAAGCTTTATGATCCCTTTGGGATTCAATACTCTCAATTTATCTATTCGCCTAACGGGCATACGCGAATAATTTGCATGCACGGAAAGAACGGTTTTGTTGAAACATTTAAAAATTTAGCTAGATACACAGATCTGAAAATATTATTTTGCTGCTCATCAAAATAATTATGTAGGATACTCAAACTGATTGTTAAATGTCAAAAAAAATTTTTTTTTTGCTGTTCATCATATTTTAGAAAATTTTTCAATTTTCTATATTTTGATCGTCTCTTTTGATGGTCCAACAAAATTATTTTCAGATCTGTAGTTACCTACATTCTTAAATTTCTTAGATATACTGCAACAAAATCGTTCTTGCTGATTGTTAGAATGTCAAAACTTTTTGCAGTATTGCTCATCGCGTTTGACTTTCTCGTGTAATTATATTTTGATGATCCAACAAAATTATTTTTAGATCTGTGTCCAGTTAAATGTTTAGATACTTGAGCAAAATCGTTCTTTCGTTGCAGAAACGCGCGGAAAACGTCTACTTAAAACTGCAAAACGATTAATATTCGCACAACCTTAGCAATAATCGGTCGCACGTGAAAAGAACGAAGGAAAAGGTCGCAGTTCGACACGCGGAAGAATAACGCACGCGGCCGCCCACGGCGTGTTTATATGCGCCGCGGACCGTAAAGGACGGGCGATATTCCTTCATCAGAAAGCCTCGCGGGCGTCGTTATTCGTTCGCATATATCCGACTCATTCGCCGTTCGGCATCGCCACCGTTACCCCCGTTTTTTACGCTTCTAATATCGCGCGCATACAGTTTTACACCCGCCCCGATCTGGCAAAGGGATGCGGCCAGGGAAGCGAGTATGGGGCAGCGGGTTTCGAGCGGGGACCGAAATTGAGTTAGAGACTACTCTGCATTCTTTACGACGAATCCGCAGTACGCCGGTAAATCTATGTATCGAGAAAAGCGAATTTTCCGGATTTATGCTTCTAACGAGACCGATCTGTTTGCGATTTTTTATTTTTAGTATCATTGCTATAATTACAGCTGGCGTTACCTCTGCTAAAAGCAAAATTTTCATTAATCCTTTCTCACGGTTTTATCATCGCCTTTCTTTTTTATATCAAGTGTGACGTAACAGGCATATTCAACGATGAGGAAGTTCTTTTCTGGAATTTAAAGTAATCTCTTCGAAATTTGATTGAATTAACTTTCGCTAATTCTTAAAACATTAAATAGTGCTTACCGATTTCTATTTGATTAGATGTTATGCTATAAATATTCAACGGTGGAGAAGTTCTTTTCTTGAAATGATCTTTTCGAAATTCGATTGGACATTGATTGCGTTTAGTGGAAAAAGCAATTTTGTGGTTGTAAGATTCTCTTTAATATAATTCATTATACATTTTAGATTCAATGAGAATCTAAGAGCGGAAACTAATCATATTAAAAACTCTTACAACAGTTGCAAAGCTGCTTTTTCCGTCAAACGCACACAGCTATAAACTTTCGCTAATTCTTAAAACATCAGTTAATAAATAACGCCTGCGTCGCCAGCCGATTTCTGATAAGATATTATGCTGAATATTTAATAACCAAAAAGTTCTTTTCTGAAACTTGATATGATCTTTTCGGAGAGTGGATGTTATCTTTCGCTAATTCTTAAGACATCAACAACTAAATAATGTTTGCCGATTTCTACCTGATTAAATACTACGCCGAGTTATTCGCATCTTTACAAATCTTAGGAAATATTCTCTCGATTTAGCATAAAATTTCACGGAATCATCCAACGCAGTCGTTAACAGGGGATTTTTAGACAGTCGACCGCCCTAAAACGTAACGCTCGCTATTACCAAAATTCGAGTTAATAGCCAGTTAAGGGAGTCCGGCCGACGGGTCTCTCGTAAGGGTCGAACGCGGAGGACCGGTCTCTCTTTGTAGCCTTAATTCAATTAAAACCGCCATCTTTCCCGGCCGTCGACGTCGTGCTCATAACTCCGTTATCGAGGCACGACTGCCCAAATTCGATCGTCAATACCATCTTGTTGGCCTCCAGGACACGGCAGACGGTAAAACCGCGTCGACGTTTTATAATCGTCCGCTCTTTGCATCCCCAATTACGCTGCCACGTGCCGCCGCCAGGAAAAGAAAGGGAGAGCAATCCTTTGGGGTGCGGCTCGCGAGATTGTTGTTAATACGATGAATAATCTACTGGGCTACTCTCCCGGTGAATAGGCCGATACCAGAATAAATAGTGGAGGAGAACCACACCCGTCGCGATTGCTCCAGAGAGTGATATTACTACAGCAGCAGGATATTTAGATAGTCGGCGAAGATAGCCGTTTAAAATCGCGATCATATACTCCTACTTTAGGATATTGCTGTAGCGATGTAAATATTTCAATACAGTTTCTATTACAGCCATCTACCTCTGCAACTATGGATGTCTATTCTGGGTCTACTTCCCAAACTTCGTACGTCGAAAAGACGTTCGCGCTCCTTTCTTATTTCAGAAATAATTCAAAGAACATAGCTTCTTGTGTCTTGATAAATATTCATTGTTACGCTTCCAAAAAAGATCGCTCAAATACTTACCGTTCGTCTTACGAGTTTTCGTGCCATTAGTTTTTACCTCGCCGAATTAGCGATTCTAAAATTGTTATGGACAATATGTGCTAAAAACGGAAGATTTCACACGTGCTAGCTTTTGAGAAATGTATCCTAGACTCGGCGTAAAATATCATTCATTCGTCAACTTACGGCACTAATTTATTACAGCTGTCTCCGAGAAGAATGCCGCGAGTAATCGACCTGTGTAATGCGGTGTAGCCAGACTCATTTAGAAGATACGGTTAGAGCGCACGTTTCTACTCGTCCGTCTCGCCGCTATCAGGACAATCGTTATTGTGCGCAGGTGCAATAAGATCCTTGCACTTAATGTGCGAGAGACGAGAAGTTCAAAAACGCCGTTTATGTCTGTAGAAGTCTCTTGACGCCGCTACCGCCAGCGTTCGTTGAACTCACTTACACCAGCTGTAAAAGAATAAATTTACCCAACTTTTTTCATAGCGGCCGCCAACTAAACGCTACACGCTTTTTACATCTCTATATGTATCCGTGAAGGAATCGAGTCGAGTCTATTCGAGCTCGTCTATTTCGATTCTAGCTTTTTCTTCGAAAGAACTCGAAAGATACAAATATTAAATCCCCATTGATTTTAAATTTTAAATGCTTCATCAGAGAAATCACTAAAGACTTTGCATCGACGGTTGTATACCATTTATCTCGAAGACGTTCAGAAACCACCTAGAGTTATCCTACATCTCTTGGATCGCGCTCTCAAAAAATATCTTCCCGTTACCCACTCGTTTAAATCTCACCGCTCACATAGGTACAACCTACTTTCGTAGGGTACAGATCGCGCGATTCTTTCCCAAAATGCATTGATTCGTATCTGCGCGATATCTGCGGAAAGAGAGAGCACCGTCCCCGTGATCGTCGTCGACGTCGTCGTCGTCGTCGTCGTCGTCGTCGCG